GAGCACCCGCGGGGCGGCTCCGACACCTGCCAGGTGAGCCCGGCCCCGCCCCGAGCCCGCCCCGGCCTCGTTCCCGCTCCCGTTCCCCGTCCCCATCCCCGTCCCGCTCCCGTTCCCGTTCCCGTTCCCGTTCCCGTTCCCGCTCCCGCTCCCGTTTCTGCTCCCCTTCTCGTTCCCGTTCCTCGGCCCCGTCCCCATCCCCGCTCCCGTTCTCGTTCCCTTCCCCATCCCTGTTCCCGATCCCGATCCCGATCCTGATCCCGCTTCTGGTCCAGTGCCAGTTCCAGTGCCAATCCCCATCCCCATCCCAATCCCAATCCCAATCCCAATCTCCATCCCAATCCCAGTCCTGGTCCCGATCCCCATCCCATTCCCGGTGCCAGTTCCAATCCTAATCCCGATACTGGTGCCAGTCCGGGTGCCAATCCCAATCCCTATCCCAATCCCAATCCTGATTCCAGTCCTAACCCCAGTCCCAGTCCCGATCCCCATCCCCATCCCAGTCCAATCTCGATCCTGCTCCCGGTCCCAGTCCCAATCCCAGTCCGAGTCCCAGTCCCGATCCCAGCCCTGATCCTGATCCCAATCCCAATCCCAGTCCCAGTCCTGATCCCAATCCTGGTTCCAATCCTGATCCCAGTCCCGGTGCCAATCTTGATCCCTGTCCCGATCCTGGTGCCAATCCCAGTCCCAGTCCTGATCCCAATACTGATCCCGATCCCAGTCCCGCTCCCAGTCCCGATCCCATTCCCTTCTGTGTCCCGGGGCTGCCATCCCGGCCCCACTCCCGCTCCCGCTCCCAGTGCCAGTCCTAATCCCAATCCCAGTCCCAGTCCCTGTCCCGATCCCAATACCGATCCTGATCTGAATCCCGGCCCCAATCCTGATCCCGTTCCTTTCCTGTTCCCGTTCCCACCCGGGTCCCGGGGCTGCCATCCTGATCCCAATCCGGTCCCAGTCCTGATCCCGCCCCCCTTCTGTGTCCTGAGGCTGCCATCCCTGTTCCCGATCCCGGTGCCAATCCCGATCCCCATCCTGATCCTGATGCCAGTCCCAATCTCGATCCCAATCCCGATCCCAATGTTGATCCCAATCCCAGTCCTGGTGCCAATCCTGATCCCAATCCTGGTTCCAGTCCCATTCCCGATCCCAATCTGATCCCAATCCCAGCCCTGATCCTGATCCCCATCCCAATCCCAATCCCGGTCCTGATCCCAATCCCAGTCCCAGTCCCAATCCCGCCCTCCGTGTCCTGGGGCTACCATCCCAGTCCTGGTCCTGATCCCGATCCGGTCCCGATCCCAATCCCAATCCCAATCCCAATCCCAATCCCGTTCCCAATCCCAATCCCAATCCCGATCCTGATCTCCACCCGGGCCCCAGGCTGCCATCTCGATCCAATCCCAATCCCGATGATCCCGATCCCAATCCTGACCCCGTCCCCGTTCCCGATCCCCACCCGTGTCCCGGGGCTGCCCCTCCCTCACTTCCCCTCCCCCCCTCCCCCGCCCCCTCCGGCCTCCCCCAGCCCCGGGAGCGGCCCCCGCTGCCCCTCCCCCACTGACCCCCATTGCCCTCCCCCATTGCCCCTCCCCCATTGCCCCCCCATTTCCCCTCCCCATTTCCCCTCCCCCTGACCCTCTCCCCATTGCCCCTCCCCATTTCCCTCCCCCATTTCCCCTCCCCATTTCCCCTCCCCATTTCCCCTCCCCCTGACCCTCTCCCCCCTCAGGCTGACCCGGGCTCGCCCCTCGTCTGTCGCTTCCGGGGCTCGGGTCCTTCTGGCTCCTCGGGTCACCGCCGGATCCCGCGGCTGCGTCTTCACCCCGGCCTGGCTCTTCAGCCGCTGGATCCTGCGGCCAGCTGGCGACCCCCGAGCCGCCCTCCGAGAGCCCCCGCAGCACCGGGAGCCCCGGCAGCACCGGGAGCCCCGGCAGCACCGGGAGCCCCGGCAGCAGCGGCGGGAGCGGCCCGGAGCGCGCGGACCCGGGCGCGGTGCTGCTGCGGTTCTTCTCCGTGCTGCGGGAGCTGCTCCGCTTCCTGCGGGGACACGGCGGGGGCCTGAGAGCGACCGGGACACCGGGACACCGGGACGGGACCGCCGGGACAACCGGACGGGAGCGCCGGGACACCGGGATGGGAGCAACCGGGACGGGAGCGACCGCGACACCGGGATGGGAGCGACCGGGGGACCGGGAATGGGAATTCCCTCACGGGATGGAAATTCCCGGTGTACGGGATGGGAATTCCCTCACGGGATGGAAATTCCCGGTGTCCCAGGATGGGAATTCCCGGTGTCCCAGGATGGGAATTCCCTCACGGGATGGGCACTCCTGGTGTACCGGGATGGGAATTCTCTCACGGGATGGAAATTCCTGGTGTCCCAGGATGTGAATTCCCTCATGGGATGGAAATTCCCGGTGTACCGGGACGGGAATTCCCTCACGGGATGGGCACTCCCCGGTGTCCTGGGATGGGAATTCCTCCGGGATGGAAATTCCCGGTGTACCGGGACGGGAATTCCCGGTGTCCCAGGATGGGAATTCTCTCATGGGATGATCACTGCTGCTCCCTCGGCATGGGAATTCCCTCCCGGATCAGCGCTCCCGGTGTCCCGGGACAGGAATTCCCTCCCGGTGTCCCGGGCTGATCACTCCCGGTGTCCTGGGATGGGAATTCCCTCCTGGATGGGTCCTCCCGGTGTCCCGGGACAGGAATTCGCTCCCAGGATGGAAATTCCCGGTGTCCCGGGACAGGAATTCCCTCCCGCTGTCCGGGGCCTCGCTTCGCTCCGTGCCCATCCCGAGGAGCGGCCCCGCCCCCTCGGCGCTATTTTAAATAAATTCCCGCTCATAAATAAATAAATTTTGCTCATCCCCGTTTTCCTCATTCCCGTTTTGCCCATTCCCATTTTGCTCATCCCCATTTTGCCCATTCCCGTTTTTTTCATCCCCGTTTTGTCATTCCCATTTTGCTCATTCCCATTTTTTTCCATTCCCGTTTTTCCCATTCCCGTTTTTCCCATTCCCATTTTTTTCCATTCCCGTTTTGTCATTCCCATTTTGTCATTTCCATTTTTTCCCATTCCCAGTTTGTCATTTCCATTTTTCCCATTCCCATTTTGCCCATTCCCAATTTTATCATCCCCATTTTGCTCATTCCCATTTTTTCCATTCCTGTTTTTCCCATCCCCGTTTTGCCCATTCCCATTTTTCTCGTCCCCATTTTCCCCATTCCCGTTTTCCTCATTCCTGTTTTTGCCCATTCCCATTTTGCCCTTTCCTGATTTGCTCATCCCTGTTTTCCTCATTCCTGTTTTTCCCATTCCCGTTTTCCCCATTCCCGTTTTGTCATTCCCATTTTTCCATCTCCATTTTTCCCATTCCCATTTTCTCATCCCCCGTTTTTCCCATTCCCATTTTTTCCATTCCCGTTTTTCCCATTCCCGTTTTTCTCATCCCTGTTTTTCCCATTCCCATTTTTCCCATTCCCGTTTTTCCCATTCCCATTTTTTCCATTCCCGGTTTTGCTCTGCCCCGTTCCCGTCCCGGACAGGTGAGGCCTCACCTGAGGGGGGAGGGGCTTGGGAAGGGGGTGGGGGACACGAGGGAGGGGACACCGGGCTGGGGGTGACCCCCCCAAAATTCATCAGGAGCCACTGGGGGGTCCCCAAATGTCACTGGGGAGGGTCCCCAAATGTCAGTGGGAGGGGTCAGGGGTCACTGGAGGGGTCTCAGGGGTCACTGGGAGGGGTCTCAGAGGTCACTGGGGGTCCCAAAGGTCACTGGGAGGGATCTCAGGGGTCACTGTAAGGGGTCAGGGGTCACTGGGGGTCCCCAAATGTCACTGGGAGGTGCCCAAGGGGCACTGGGAGGGTTTTAGGGGGCACTGAGGGTCCCCAAAGATCACTGGGAGGTCCCAGGGGTCACTGGGTGTCCCTAAAAGTGACTGGGAGGGGTCCGGGATCACTGGGAGGTCCCCAAGGGGCACTGGGGGGGGTCTCAGAGGTCACTGGAGGGGTCAGGGGTCACTGGGAGGTCCCAGAGGGACTCGGAGGTCCCCAAATGCCACTGGGGGGGAGGTCTCAAAGGTCGCTGGGGGTTCCCAAATGTCACTGGGAGGTCCCCAAGGGGTCACTGGGGGGTCCCAGAGGGGACTGGGAGGTCCCCAGAAGTGACTGGGGGGTCTCAGGGGTCACTGGGGGGGTCGGGGATGACTGGGAGGTCCCCAAAAGTGACTGGGAGGTTCCCAAGTGTCGATGGGATGTCCCCAAAAAGTCACTGGGACATCACCAGGGGTCACTGGGGGGGTCTCAGGGGTCACTGGGGGATCCCAAGTGTCACTGGGAGGTCTGCAAAGGTCATTGGGGGGTCCCCAAGGGGCACTGGGAGGTCCCCAGAGGGTCCCCAGGGAAGGGTCAGGGGTCACTGGGGTCTCAGGGGTCACTGGGAAGGGTCAGGGGTCACTGGGGTCTCAGGGGTCACTGGGGGGAGTCAGAGGTCACTGGGAAGGGTCAGGGGTCACTGGGGTCTCAGGGGTCACTGGGGGGGAGTCAGGGGTCACTGGGGTCTCAGGGGTCACTGGGGTCTCAGGGGTCACTGGGAAGGGTCAGGGGTCACTGGGGTCTCAGGGGTCACTGGGGGGAGTCAGAGGTCACTGGGGAGGTCGCTCTGTTTGTCCTGGAGGGGTCAGAGGCCATTGGGGGGTCAGAGGTCACTGGTGGGGGTCCCTCTGTCCATCCTGGGGGTTCCCAGGCTGGATTTGGGGTGGGAACACACAAATGGGAGCACCGTGTTGGCCCCGCCCCCTCACAGAAGCACCTCCCCTCCCCTTAGACCACGCCCACCCCTGACCGCTCCCCCTCACGACAACGCCCCCGCTCTACCCCCACCCACTCGCTCTACCCCCACCCATCAGCTCCAGCCCCGCCCACCCGCTCTAGCCCCGCCCCTGAACTGGACCCGCCCCCCGAGCTGGACCCGCCCCGTTCCCGCCCGTGCCCCGCGCTCCAAGATGGCGGCGCCGTGGCCGCTGCCGGTGCTGGCGCTGCTGGCGGCGGGGGCGGCGCTGGGCGAGGCCGGGGGGCTCTGCCGGGGAGGAACCGGCACCGGCACCGGCACCAGGGTGAGCGAGGGGGGGAACCGGCACCCGGCACCAGGGTGAGCAGGGGGGGCTCCGGTACCGGGGTGAGCGGGGGGGAACCGGCACCGGCACCAGGGTGAGCGAGGGGGCTCCGGTACCGGAGAGAGCGGGGGGGAACCGGCACCAGGGTGAGCGAGGGGGCTCCGGTACCGGGGGCTCTGCCGGGGGGGAACCGGCACCGGAACCGGCACCAGGGTGAGCACGGGGGCTTCGGTACCGGGGGCTCTGCCGGGGCGGAACCGGCACCGGCACCAGGGTGAGCGAGGGGGGGCTCCGGCACCGGGGGCTCTGCCGGGGGGGCTCCGGCACCGGCACCAGGGTGAGCACGGGGGCTCCGGTACCGGGGGGCTCTCCCGGGGGGGCTCCGGTACCGGGAGCTCCCGGGGGGCCTCTGCGGGCCCCGGGAGCGGCCTCGGTGCGGGGGCAGCACCCAGTACCCGGTACTCGGTATTCATTAGGGCCCCGTGCCGGGAGCTCTCATTAATATTAATTAGGGGGCGTGTATGTATAATCGCCAGTAGCCTCAAAGGGCGGGGCCGCGTGGTTTGCCTCATTAATATTAATTAGGGGGCGGGTAAACAATCGCTGGTAGCCCCGAGGGGCGGGGCCGTGTGCTGCCCTCATTAATATTAATTAGGGGTGTGTATAAACAGCGCCCGTATCTGGGAGGGGCGGGACCACGTGTCTGTCCTCATTAATATTAATTAGGCTTCGTATAAACAGCTCCTTTACCTGCGAGGGGCGGGGCCGCGTGCTGCCCTCATTAATATTAATTAACGCGGTTCGGGTTCAAATTAATGAGCCTGCTGGTTCCAGCTCATTAATGCTAACGAGGGGCCTGGGTCCTGCCAGGTGATTAATATTCATGAGGGGGATGAGGCTGCGGAGCCTCATTAGTATTAATGAGGGCGCAGGGCTGATCATTAATATTCATGAGGTCTGCGGGATCTTACCCCCATGTCACCCCCGTGACCCCCCCGTGTCCCTGTCCTGGCGTCATCATGGTGCCATCCCCGTGTCCTCCTTGTGTCCCCACCATGTCCCCCTGGTGTCCCTGTCCTGGTGTCCCCCCCCGTGTCACCTCCGTGTCCCTGTCCTGGTGCCACCCCCTGTCCCCGCCATCTTCCTGTCCTGGTGCCACCCTCGTGTCACCCCTGTGTCCCTGTCCTGGTGTCCCTGTCCTGGTGTCCCCCCCGTGTCCCTTTGTGTCCCCCCAGGCTGGTGACACCGAGAGCTGCCGGGTGAGCCTGACCCTGGAGCACTCCTTCGAGCTGGGTGAGGGGACACTGGGGACACTGGGGGACATTGGGGACATTGGGGACATTGAGGGGATTGGGGGGATTGGGGACATGGGGACATTGGGGGCATTGGGGGACACTGGGAACATTGGGGACACTAGAGGGATTGAGGACATTGGGGACATTGGGGACACTGGGATATGGGGATATGGGACATGGAAATGGGGACATGGGGACATCGGGGACACTGAGCTGGGTGACACTGAGGATGGGGACATGGAGGTGGCACTGGGGATGTGGGAATGGGAGTGGCACTGGGGGCACAGGGACAGGGTGGCACTGGGGACATGGAGATGGCACTGGGGACACAGGGATGGCACTGGGGACATGGGCTGAGGGTGGCACTGGGGGCACAGGGATGGCACCGGGGGCAGGGGGACCAGGCTGTCCCCGCTGCCAGCGCTGTGTCCCAATGTCCCCATATCCCCTGTCCCCATGTCCCCTCTCCCTCCGTCCGTATCCCTGTCCCCTGTCCCTGTCCCCTGTCCCTGTCTGTGTCCCTATTCCCCGTCCCTGTCCCCTCTGTCCCCATCCCTGTCCCCGTCCCTGTCCCCACTGTCCCCTCTGTCCTTGTCTCTGTCGCCCCGTCCCCATCCCTGTCCCCTCTGTCCCTGTCCCTCTGTCCCCTCTATCCCTTCTGTCCCCATGTCCCCCATGTCCCCATGTCCCTCTGTCCCTCTGTCCCCATCCCTGTCCCCCATGTCCCTCTGTCCCTCTGTCCCCATCCCTGTCCTCTCTATCCCCTGTCCCCTCTGTCCTTGTCCCCGTCCCCCGGTCCCCATCACTGTCCCCTCTGTCCCTGTCCCTCCCCTCTGTCCCTCTGTCCCTCTCCCCTCTGTCCCCTCTGTCCCCATCCCTGTCCCTGTCCCCTCTGTCCCCCTGTCCCCTTGTCCCCATCCCTGTCCCCCTGTCCCTCTGTCCCCTCTGTCCCCCTGTCCCCATCCCTGTCCCCTCTGTCCCTCTCTCCTCTGTCCCCCCGTCCCCCTGTTCCCTCTGTCCCCCTGTCCCCCTGTCCGTCCCCACAGATGACGTTCCGCGGTTCCGCCGCCGGGGGTCGCTGTCCCTGAGCTGGGGCCCCGAGCCCGCGCTGGCGCTGGCGCAGAAACCGCTGGGGGAGGAGGAGAGAGCGCGGCTGAGGGTGAGCGACAGACGGACAGACGGACAGGGGGACATGGGGACAGCAACGGGGACATGGGGACATGGGGACAGCAGGGGAGGAGGAGAGAGCGCGGCTGAGGGTGAGCGACAGACGGACAGACAGACAGACGGACATGGGGACATGGGGACATGGGGACATGGGGACATGGGGGGGACAGCAGGGGAGGAGGAGAGAGCGCGGCTGAGGGTGAGCGACAGACGGACAGATGGACACCGGGGGGACAGAGGGACATGGGGGACATGGGGACACGAGGAGGGCATGGGGGAGGAGGAGAGAGTGTGGCTGAGGGTGAGGGACAGACGGACAGACAGACAGGGGGACAGCAACGGGGACACTGGGACATGGGGGGACAGGGGGGAGGAGGAGAGAGCGCAGCTGAGGGTGAGGGACAGACGGACAGGGGGACAGACATGGGGACACACCAGGACATGGGGACAGCACTGGGGACACTGGGGGGAGGAGGAGAGAGTGCAGCTGAGAGTGAGGGACAGACGGACAGACAGACAGGGGGACAGCAATGGGGACATGGGGACATGGGGACAGCAGGGGAGGAGGAGAGAGCGCGGCTGAGGGTGAGCGACAGACGGACAGGAGGACATGGGGGGGACACGGGGAGACAGTGTGGGGGACATTGGGGTGACACTGAAGGGATATGGAGGTGACCCTGGGGTGACATTGAAGTGACACACAGGTGACCCTGGGGGGACAGTGGGGGGACACTGGGTGACACTGATGTGACACTGGGAGACACTGGGTGACACTGGGGTGACACTGGGTGACACTGAGGTGACACTGGCTGACACTGGGTGACACTGATGTGACACTGATGTGACACTGGGAGACACTGGGTGACATTGGGTGACACTGTGGTGACCCTGGGTGACACTGATGTGACACTGGGTGACACTGATGTGACCCTGGGTGACCCTGGGTGACATTGGGTGACACTGGGGTGACACTGGGTGACACTGAGGTGACACTGGGTGGCATTGGGTGACACTGGGGTGACCCTGGGTGACACTGATGTGACACTGGGTGACACTGATGTGACCCTGGGTGACCCTGGGTGACATTGGGTGACACTGAGGTGACACTGGGTGACACTGGGTGACATTGAGGTGACACTGGCTGACACTGGGTGACACTGATGTGACATTGGAAGACACTGGGTGACACTGAGGTGACACTGGCTGACACTGAGGTGACCCTGGGTGACATTGGGAGACACTGGGTAACACTGGGTGACACTGAGGTGACACTGGGTGGCATTGGGTGACACTGGGGTGACACTGGGGTGACACTGGGTGACCCTGGGTGACACTGTCCCCACAGGAGGTGGCAGCTCGGGATGGGCTGTACCGGGTGCGGGTGCCCCGCAGGCCCCCGGGCCCTGGCGAGGACGGGGACACCGAGTTCGTCACCTCCTTCGTGAGGGCGGTGAGTGACAGGGACACCTGGGGACACCTGGGGACACCTGAGCTGGGACACCTGGGACACCCCTGGGGACACCCTGGGACACTCTGGGGACACCTCTGACCTCTGTCACCCCCTGTGTCACCCCCTGGGACACCCTGGGGACATCCCTGGGGACTCGCTGGGGACACCCTGGGACAGCCTGGGGACACCCTCTGGGACACCCCTGGGACATTCCTGACCTCTGTCACCCCCTGTGTCACCCCTGGGACACCCCTGGGACAGCCCGACCTGTGTCACTTCTGTCACCCCCTGGGACACCCCGGGGTCCTCCAGCCCCATGTCCCCCCATGTCCCCCCATGTCCCTGCCACCCTCCCTGTGTCCCCCCATTGTCCCCTCAGTGGCCTCACCCTGTGCCCCTGTCCCCTCATGTCCCCCTGTGGCACTGTCACCCGTGTCCCTGTGTCCCCATGTTCTCTCACGTGTTCCAGTGTCCCTGTCCCCTCATGTCCCACTGTGTCCCTGTGTCCCCTCCTGTGTCCCCATGCTACTGTCCCCTCATGTCCCCCTGTGGCACTGTCACCTGTGTCCCCTGTGTCCCCTCACATGTCCTGTGCCACTATCACCCATGTCCCCATGTCCCTCTCCCCTCACGTGTCCCTGTGCCACCATCACCCCATGTCCCCCGTGTCTCTGTGTCCCCTCAGGTGTCCCCATGTCCCTGTCCCCTCATGTCCCCGTGTCCCTGTGCCCCTGTCCCGTCACATGTCCCCATGTTGTGTCCCGGTGTCCCTGTCCCCTCACATGTCCCTGTCCCTCCATGTCCCTCCATGTCCCCTCATGTCCCTATGTCCCTGTCCCCTCATGTCCCCGTGTCCCTGTGCCCCTGTCCCGTCACATGTCCCCATGTCACTGTCACCCATGTCCCCGCGTCCCCCACGTGTCCCTGTGCCCCTGTCCCCTCATGTGCCCCCATGTTGTGTCCCCGTGTCCCTGTCTCCTCACATGTCCCCCTGTGGCACTGTCCCCTCATGTCCCCATGTCCCCTCACATGTCCCTGTCCCTCCATGTCCCTCCATGTCCCCCCATGTCCCTGTCCCCTCGTGTGCCCCCATGTCCCCTGACGTGTCCCCGTGTCCCCAGTGTGCCCTGCTGGAGTCCCACCTGTCGGACCAGCTGTCCCTGCACCTGGACGTGGTGGCACTGTGTCCCTGTGTCCCCATGTCCCCTCACATGTCCCCTCATGTCCCCTGATGTGTCCCTGTGTCCCCATGTCCCCTGATGTGTCCCCATGTCCCCTCACGTGTCCCCGTGTCCCCTGACGTGTCCCCGTGTCCCCAGTGTGCCCTGCTGGAGTCCCACCTGTCGGATCAGCTGTCCCTGCACCTGGACGTGGTGGCACTGTGTCCCTGTGTCCCCGTGTCCCCTCACGTGTCCCCTCATGTCCCTTGACGTGTCCCCGTGTCCCCAGTGTGCCCTGCTGGAGTCCCACCTGTCGGATCAGCTGTCCCTGCACCTGGACGTGGCCGGGCACGTGGTGGCCCTGGGGGTGGTGGCAGCCCCTGGCACCTGCAGGGGCACCTGGGTGGAGGACGAGCACCTGGAGCTCTTCAACACCTCGGTGGCACTGAGACAGCCCCTGCCCGCGGCCACGTGAGGGACAGGGGACACGGGGACAGGGGACAAGGGACAGGGGACAGGGGGACAGGGGGACAGGGGACAGGGGGACATGGGGACAGGGGACAGGGACATGGGGACAGGGAACACGGGGATGGGAACAGGGGGACAGGGGACACGGGGACAGGGGACACGGGGACATGGGGATAGGGGATGGGAACAGGGGACGGGAACAGGGGACACGGGGACAGGGGACAAGGGGACACGGGGACAGGGGATGGGGACAGGGGACATAGGGACAGGGGACACGGGGACATGGGGACAGGGGATGGGGAGAGGGGGCACAGGGACAGGATGGGGACATGGGGACAGGGGACATGGGGACAGGGATAAGGATAGGGGACATGGGGACAGGGGACAGGGGATGGGGACAGGGGGCACGGGGACAGGGGACACAGGGACAGGGGACAAAGGGACAGGGGACACAGGGACATGGGGGTGTGGGGACATGGGGGGGGACATGGGGACATGGGGATGGGGAGGATATGGGGACAGGGGTACAGGGAGGGACATGGGGGGACAGGGATACAGGGGACAGGGAGGGACATGGGGGGACAGGGGACAGGGGGGGACATGGGATGGGGAGGATGTGGGGGAACATGAGGGACATGGGGACATGGGGGGGACACGGGACAGGGGGAACGGGGGGGACATGGGGACAGGGGAGATGTGAGGGGATATGGGGACATGGGGGACAGGGGGACACAGGACAGGGGGACACGGGGGATTTGGAGGGGACAGGGGATGGGAGGGGACACAGGGACAAGGGGGGACACGGGGGGGACACGGGGGGGACGGGGGGGACATGGAGACATGGGAGGGCAGGAGGACAAGGAGGATGGGGGGGATATGGGGACAGTGGGACATGGGGACATGGGGGGACACTGTGGGGACAATGGGGACACTGTGGGGACACTGTGGGGACAATGGGGGGAATTTTGGGGCTGGTTCAGCTTTCATGGGGACACCCATGGGGGCAGGGGGCAAGGTCTGGGGTGGCCGTGACCCCGTGTGTCCTGTCCCCAATGTCCCCAATGTCCTCATTGGTGTCCCCAACGTCCCCAATGGTGTCCCCAATGTCCCCATTGGTGTCCCCAACGTCCCCAATGGTGTCCCCAACGTCCCCATTGGTGTCCCCAGCCCCGAGACCGCCGCCTTCATCCGGCACCTGGAGCAGGAGCAGGCCCAGCGCGCCCGGAACCCCCAGGAGCAGAAATCCTTCTTTGCCAAATACGTGAGGGACACCCCAAAAGCAGCCCTGACACCCCAAAAACACCTGGGGCACCCCAAAAATCACCTGGGGCATCCCAAAATCCACCCTGACACCCCAAAAACACCTGGGGCACCTCAAAAATCACCTGGGACACCCCAAAATCCATCTGGGATACCCCAAAAATCCACCCTGACACCCCAAAAAACATCTGAGGCATCCCAAAATCCATCTCGGGCATCCCAAAAAACACCTGGGCCATCCGAAAAATCCACCCAGACCCCCCCAAAAACCAGCCTGACACCCCAAAAACACCTGGGGCACCCAAAAACACTGGGGGCATCCCAAAATCCATCTGGGAACCCCCAAAATCCACCCAGTCCCCCTCCGGGACCCTCCAAAAACCACCTGGGACCCCTAAAAAACCCACCTGGGACCCCCCCGGGACGCCCCAAAAATCATCTGAGACACCCCAAAATCCACCCAGACCCCCCCTGGGACACCCCAAAAACACCCGGGATACCCAAAAACCCACCCAGAGACCCCAAAAATACCCTGACACCCCAAAAAACACCTGGGAACCCCAAAAATCACCTGGGGCACCCCAAAATCCACCTGGGGTATCCCAACATCCCGCCCTGACACCCCAAAAACTCCCTGACACCCCATAAACCACCCTGACACCCCCAAAAACACACCCAGAACCCCTCTGGGACACCCCAAAATCCCACCCTGACACCCCAAAACCGCCTGATTTTGGGGTGGATTTTGGGGTGATCAGGCCTGATTTTGGGGTGGATTTTGGGGTGAATTTGGGGCTGATTTTGGGGTGGATTTTGGGGTGATCAGGCCTGATTTTGGGGTGAATTTGGGGTGAATTTGGGGATAATTTTGGAGTGGATTTTGGGGTGATCGGGGCTGATTTTGGGGTGGATTTGGGCTGATTCTGAGGTGGATTTTGGGGGAGTGATTTGGGGGAGTGATTTGGGGCTGATTTTTGGGCTGGTTTGGGGGGGGGATTTTGAGGTGGATTTTGGCTGATTTTGGGGTGATTTTAGGGGGAATTTTGGGGTGGATTTGGGGTGATCTGGGCTGATTTTGGGGGGGGGTGATTTTGGGTGGATTTTGTGGTGGTTTGGGCTGATTTGGGGGTGCATTTTGGGGTGATTTTGGGGCTGATATTGGGGTTACATGGGCTGATTTTGGGATGTTCTGGGCTGGCTTTGGCTGATTTTGGGGTGGATTTTGGGGTGATTGTGGGGGGGTGATTTGGTCCTGATTTTGGGGTGATTCTGAGGTGGATTTTGGGCTGAGTTTGGGGTGATTTTGGCTGATTTTGGGCTGGATTTTGGGGTGATTTTGGGGTTATTTGGGTTGATTTTAGAGTGGATATTTGGGTTGATTTTGGGGTGGATATTCGGGGTTATTTGGGCTCATTTTGGGTGGATTTTGGGGTGATCAGGCCTGATTTTGGGGTGGATTTTGGGGTGATTCGGAGGTGGATTTTGGGGTGATTTTGGGGGAGTGATTTGGGGCTGATTTTTGGGGGATTTTGAGGTGGATTTTGGGTGATTTTGGGGTGATTTTAGGGTGAACTTTGGGGTGGATTTGGGGTGATCTGGTTTTGGGGTGAATTGGGCTGATTTTGGGGTGGTTTGGGCTGATTTTGGGTGGATTTAGGGGTAATTTGGGGCTGATTTTGGTGATTTGAGCAGATTTGGGCTGATTTGGGGGCGCATTTTGGGGTGATTCTGGGTGGATTTTGGGGCTGATATTGGGGTTACATGGGCTGATTTTGGGGTGTTCTGGGCTGGCTTTGGCTGATTTTGGGGTGGATTTTGGGTGGATTTTGGGGTGATTTGGGGCTGATTTTGGGGTGGATTTTGGGCTGAGTTTGGGGTGATTTTGGGGCAGATTTTGGGATTATTCGGGTTGATTTTGGGGTGGATATTCAGGGTTATTTGGGCTCATTTTGGGTGGATTTTGGGGTGATTTGGGTCTGATTTTGGGGTGGATTTTGGAGTTTTATGGGCTGCTTTTGGGGTGATTTTGGAGTGGATTTTGGGGTGGATTTGGGGTGATTTTGGGGCTCATTTTGGGGTGGATCTGGGCTGATTTTGGGGTGGATTTCGGGCTGATATTGGGGTGATCTGGGCTGATTTTAGGGGGGTGATTTTGGGGCTGAATTTGGGGTGATTTTGGGGCTGATTTTGGGCTGACCCCCCCTCCCCTCTCCCCGCAGTGGATGTACATCATCCCCATCGTGCTCTTCCTCATGATGTCTGGAGCCCCCGACGCTGGGGGGGCGCAGGGCGGGGGCACGGGGGGCGGGGGGGGGGCGGGGGTCAGGTGAGACCCCCCCAAAATCCCCCCCGGACCCCCCAGTGTGGGGCATGGGCAATAAAGATGTGTGAGACCCCAAATGTGGCGGTGAGACCCCAAAATCTGGGTGAGACCCCCCAAATCCGGGTGTGACCCCAAATCTGTGTGAGACCCCCCCAAATCCGGGTATGACTCCCTAAATGTGGGTGGGACCCCAAAGTGTGGATGGGACCCCCTAAATCTCTGTGTGACCCCCAAATCTGGGTGAGACACACCCCAAGTGTGGGCGGGACCCCCAAAATCGGGGTGTGAGACACCCCCCCCCCCAAATCTGAGTGTGAGCTCCTAAATGTGGGTGGGACCCCCGTTATTCTGGGTGTGACCCCAAATCTCTGTGACCCCACCTAAATCCGGGTAAGACCCCCCCCAAATCTGTGTGAACCCCCCAAATTTGTGTGTGACCCCAAAATCCAGCTGTGAGACCCCAAAATCCACGTGTGATCCCCTAAATCCGGGTGTGACCCCCCCCCCAAATTTGGGTCCCTGGGCTGGACCCCAGAGACCTCCCGGGGGTCCAGGGGGGCCCCAAATCCTCGGCTCCGTCCTTGGGGGAGCCCGGGCAGGAAATTGGGGGAAAGGGGCGGGGCTTGGACAAACGGACACGCCCCGTTATGCAAATGTGAGAGAAAATGCTCCTTTATGCAAATACAAAAGAGGTGTCATAAGTTATGGCCACGCCCCTTTATGCAAATACAGAGGCAGTGCTGTGCATAACCACGCCCCTTCATGCAAATAGGAATCACTGAGCTACACCCACGTGCATTTATGCAAATACAGGGGAGGTGCTGTGCACTATAACCACGCCCCTTTATGCAAATACAGAGGCGATACCGTGAGTTATAGGCCCGCATCTTTATGCAAATAGAGAGCCGGTTATGTAAGGTACAGCCACGCCCCTTTATGCAAATACAAAGATGGTGCTGTGAGCTATAACCACGCCCCTTTATGGAAATACAGAGCCTGTACCATGCTCTATAGCCCTGCCTCTTTATGCAAATATAGAGGCGGTTCTTTGCCATATAGCCACGCCCCTTTATACAAACACATTCGGTACACTGATTTAACCACGCCCCTGTATGCAAATACAGAGACAGTGCTGTGCGCTATAACCTCGCCCCTTTAAGCATAGTCGGTACCGTGAGCTATAACCACGCCCCTTTATGCAAAAAAGTCGGTACCGTGATCTATAGCCACGCCCCTTTATGCAAACAAAGCCGGCCCCATCCGCTTTAGCCACGCCCCTTACGCAACCCCCCGCGCGGCGCTGCACGCCCCTTCACGCCGGGGGGCGGTGCCGCTTGCGCGCCCGCTGATTGGCGGCGGAGATCACGTGGCCGTCGCGGTGACGTCAATTCCCGGAAGGGTGGCCGCCACTTGGCGGGTCCGGGACTCCTCAGCTCCCCCGAGCCCCGGGATCGCTCCGGGATCGCTCCGGGCCCTTCAGCTCGCCCCGGGATCGCCCCGGGTCCCTCCGCTGTCCCCGTGTCCCCCCGTCCCTGTCCTCCCTGTCCCTCTCTCCCGCCTTCCCTGTCCCCTCCTGTTCCCCGGTCTCCCCGCTGTTCCCGGTTTCCCTCTATCCCTCCTGTTCCCCGGTTTCCCCTCTCTCCTCTCCCCGGTCTCCCCTCTGTCCCCGGTCTCCCCGCTGTCCCCCCGGTCTCCCCGCTGTCCCCGTCTCCCCGCTGTCCTCTCCTGTTCCCTGGTTTCCCCGCTGTCCCTCCGGTTTCCCCGCTGTCTTCCCGTTCTCCCCTCTGTCCCGTCTCTCCCGGTGTCCCGGGATGGCGGAGGGCGGCCCGCGACGGCTGCGGCCGTGGCTGCTGGCTCAGCTGCAGAGCGGGCGCTTCCCGGGTTTGCAATGGGACGACGCGGCCCAGCGGCGCTCAGGATCCCCTGGGCCCACGGCGGGAGGAGCGGGGCCCGCGACGGGGCGGGGGCGGCGCTATGCAAAGTAGGGGCGGAGCTATAGAACCGAGGGGCGGGGCTATGGGTAAGGGCAGGGCTATAGAACTGAGGGGCGGGACTATGGGTAAGGGCGGGGGGCTATGCCATGTGGGGCGGGGCTATAGCGGCCGAGAGGCGGGGCTATGCAAAGTAGGGGGAGCTAGGCAGGGTAGGGGCGGGGCCTGCGGGGTAGGGGCGGAGCTATAGCGACCAGGTGCAGGGCTGTAAATTGTAGGGGCGGGGCTACAGCGATGAGGGGTGGTGCTATGCAGAGTGAGGGGCGGGGCTATGTGGAGAGTGGGCGGGGTTATGCAGACTGAGGGGTGGGGCTATACAGAGTTAAAGGCGGTGTTATGCAAAGTGAGGGGCGGGGCCTGACGGGTCAGGGGTGGGGCTTTGCAAAGCCAGGCGGGGGCGGGGCTGTGGGCGGTGCTTAGCAGGGTCAGGGGCGGGGCCGCGGCTCTGGGGAGGCGTGGCCAAGGCTGTGCTGGGCCAAGGGCTGGGCTCTTCACGGTGAGGGGTGGGGCCAATAACGGTGCTCTGTAATGTAAGGGGCGGAGCCAAGGCGGAGCTCTGCACAGTGGGGCGGGGCTTAGAGATGGGCGGGTTTTGCAAAAGGGAGGAGCCCTTTGTCAGCTGATGGGCGGGGCCTAGTTGAGAGGCGGGGCTTAACGCACTGACGCTGTGAAAGGGGGAGGAGCTAAGATGAGGGCGGGTCTACGGGGTGCTGGCACTGAACAAAGCCATGGAGGAGGCGGAGCTTGGGCCACGCCCCCGCTGTGGAAGGAGCCAATCGGGGGCGGGGACTGGGACAGCTGTAGGGCGGGGTTTTGAGCAGGGGGTGGAGCCATGCCGAGTGCGAGTGGGTGGGGCGCGGGGGGGGGTGTACTATGCAAATGAGATGGGCGTGGCTTGATGGCGTTGCTCCCGGCAGGCGTGGGCGGAGTACAAGGGGCGGCTCCGGCCCGGGGACCCCCCCGACCCCGCGGGTGGAAGACGCGGCTGCGCTGCGCCCTGGCCCGGAGCCCTGAGTTCCGGCAGCTGCCGGGGCGGGGCCGCTCGGACGGGCCCTGCCCCTACCGCGTGTACCGGGTGCTGCCCGCCCGCGGTGAGCACCGGGGGCCGGAACGGGAGCGGGAATGGGGGATGGAGATTGGGGGGACACAGGAAATGAGGTGCGGGGAGTGAATATGGGGAACACCGGAATAGGGGGCAGAATATGAGGGGGACACGGGAAACGGGGACAGTATTGGGGGGCACAAAGGAAATGGGGACTCGTTATGTGGGGACACTCTGGAAATGGGGATGGAATGTGGGGGACACACCGGAAATGGGGGTGAGGGGGCTGAATATAGGGGGACACAAAGGAAATGGGGACTGAATATGGGAGGACACACCGGAAATGGGGTGAGGGGGCTGAATGTAGAGGGAAAAAACCGGAAATGGGGACTCATTATGGGGGACACACAGGAAATGGGGTGAGGGGGCTGAATATGTGGGGACACACAGGAAATGGGGACTGAATATGGGGAGGACATGAGAAATGGAGAGTGGGACTGAATATGAGAGGACACACCGAAATGGGGTTGGGGGACTGAATATGGGCAGTGGACACGGGATATGCTGTGAGGGGATGAAATATGGGAGGACACATTGGAAATGGGGTGAGGGGATTGAATATAGGGGGACACACCGGAAATGGGGACTGAATATGGGGGGATACACCGGAAATGGAATGAGAGGACTGGAAAAAGGGTGAGGGGACTGAATATGAGGGGGCACACAGGAAATAGGAGTGAACAAGGGGGGGACATACCGAAATGGGGATGGAATATGGGAGGACACACCGGAAATGAGGTGAGGGGACTGAATATGGGGGGACACACCGGAAATGGGGACTGAATATGTGGGGACACACTGGGAAAGGGGATGGAACATGGACGGACACAAGAGAAATGGAATGAAGGGACTGAATATGGAGAGGACACTGGAAAAAGGGCGAGGGGACTGAATATGGGGGAACCACACACAAGGAAAAGGGGACAGAATATGGGGGGATACACAGGAAATGGGAACTCATTATCAGAGGACACAACGGAAATGGGGATGGAATATGGGGGGGACATGGAGAGGGCGACTGGATGTGGGGGCACCCCCAAATCAGGGGTGCCCCGAGATGGGGGGAACCAAACCAGAGGAGCACCGGGGGAGGGGCCAAATGGGGCCCCGGAAGGGCAGGGGGAGGGGTGCAGGGGTCAGACCCGCGTTAACCCTCTCAGTGCCGCCCCCAACAGAGCCCAAGCCCCCCAGGGGCCGGCAGAGCCAGAAGGAGGCGGGGTTGAGCCCCACGGAGCCCCTCCCACCAACCCCGCCCCCCGAGAGCCAGGACGGGACCCCGGATGAGGAAAAGCCCGGTGAGGGGAGGGGGGGTTGGGGGCAGTTCTGGGACAATCCTGGGGCTGGGATGGCCCTGGGGGTGGAGCAATGGGGCGTGGCCTCTGCCTGACCCCACCCTTTTAGCAGAGCCTCCGCCCCCGGAAGTGCTGCCCCTGCGGATTGAGGTGGAGAGCGCAGAGCCCCTCCCCCTCGCGCACGGTAAGCCACGCCTCAAATGGGGAGGAGCTAATTCTGGCCACACCCCCAACACTGCCCCAGGATTGGCTCCTCCCCCCAAACCTGGGCACCTGCGGAGCTTTGGCTCCACCTCCACCCTCTCTTGCCCAGCCCCTTTCATTCCCACCCCACCCCCTTAAACCACACCCCACTCCCCACTTTTAGCCCCGCCCCTTACGCTGACCCCGCCCCTTTCCCGCAGGGGACGCGGCGCTGCTGCTGCGGCTGCGCCGAGGCCCCGCCCTGGTCTGGGAGGGGGCGGTGCCTCCTGGCGAGTACCTGCTGAGTCCTCCCAGCCGCCAGGGGGCGGAGCCGCCGCCGCTGCCGCGATTGGTGCTTCCGGTGGGGCAGGGCCGGGGCTACTGCTCAGCAGCGCCCCCCGGGGGCTCTTCCTGCGCCTGCGCCCTGGCGACGGTCCCGCCCCCGGGGTCGTGAGGGGGCCCCACGTGCCCCACGGGCCCCTCCAGCAGGGGGCGCTGCTGCAGCCGTTCGACGCCCAACGATTCCGGGAGGGTGAGAGGCACTTCCGGGGTGGGGGGGAACAACTTCCGGGGGGAGGGGAGGAACTTCCGGTGGGGGAGAGTGAAAATAACATTTCGGGAAGGGAGAGACACTTCCGGGGGGGGGGGTAGAGTGACTTCCGGTGAGAGGGGAACAACTTCCGGTGGGGAAGAGCAACTTCCGGGAAAAGGGAAGCAACTTCCGGGGAGGGGAGGGCAACTTCCGGTGGAGGAGAGCAAGTTTTGGGACAGGTGAAGCAACTTCCGGGGCGAAGAAGAACTTCCGGTGGTGGCAGAGCCCAACTTCTGGGGGAGGGTAGAGTGACTTCCGGGGAGGGGAAGAGGAACTTCCTGTGGTGTTGGAGCAATTTCCGGGAAAGGGAGATCAGTTCTGGGGGAGGGGAAGCAACTTCCGGGGGGGTCGAGTGACTTCCAGGGGAGGGAGAAGGAATTCCAGTAGGGAAGAGCAACTTCCGGGTGGCATAGAGAGACTTCCGGGTAAGGGTTATCAACTTCCGGGGAGGGAGAGCAACTTCCGGTGTAGGGGAGAGTAACTTCCGGCTGGGAGGAGGAACTTCCGGAAGTGGAAAAAGGAATTTCCGGGTTGGAAAGAGCAACTTCGGGTGGTGGAGAGCAAGTTCCGGGGAGGGGCAGAGCAAGTTTTGGGGGAGGAAAACAACTTCCGGTGGTGGGGATAGGAACCTCCGGGGAGGGTTGAGCAACTTCCGGGGGAGGAGAGTGACTTCCGGAAGTGAAAAGAGGAACTTCCGGGGGAGAGGAGAGAAACTTCCGGTGTAGAGGAAAGCAGCTTCCGGTGGGATGAGCAACTTCCGGGAGAGACCAAAACACCGGGGGTGGGGTCGGACCCCAAATCCTCCCCCCGCCGTGCCCCTCCCCCCACGCTGACCACGCCCCTCCACCCCCCCCAGAGTTGGAGCGGCACCGGGCCGGGCTCGGGCCCCTCCCCTGCACCGCGTGACCCTGGAGCTCCGCCCCCATGAGGAGGGGGAGGGGCTGCTGCTGGAGGTGGGGGGGGGGTTCTTAAGGGAGGTTGCGGGGGTCT